TTTATTAAAATAACTTGAAGCTTGTCTTCATATTTCTTTTCTATCTTCTTTTACTTGTTTATAAACTCCTTTGAATAAAAACTTGGGTCTCTAGTGACCTGAAAAGATCTAAGTATCACCTTCTCTACTAAGGGCAAGAAGATTCTAGGAAGTAAAAGGACTGGCAAGTGATATGTCACTTTACAGAGCTGAAGTGACAAAAATAGAAGTTTTGTTAGCAGAGGAAGGCTTATTATTCATCTTCTTATAATTTTCTATTCCCTCTTAAAGTATTTACTGTTTTTTATAGTTTTCTTTAGAAATTTTGCCTACCTCAATTTGATCCTGAATTTCCAATAGCACAACATTACTAGGCTTTTGATTAACTGACATGAAACACATTAGTAACTTAATGTAAACAAGCTCCTATTGATCACCTCATGTATTCCGATAACATTATTGGCGATTGAAAAAGTTGATTGGTGCCCCATGGGCACTCCACTTCTCCAATTGGATTAACCTACAGATCAAGTTCTATAAGATCAAGCACATATAAGTAACAAGTCCCTAGGTGATGAAAAAGTTGCTATTTGTTCAAGTTGAGGTCTTTATCTTCTATCATTCCAATCAGGCAAAGTTCAAGATCAAGGTTTCCTTTTTATCCTAGTCAGGCAATAAGATCAAATGGTTTCTAGTCCATGCTAAACTTCAACCATTTAGTTACAGTTGAGAATACATTTTTCCAGAAGTTGTTGAAGGATATCACAATCGACGATAATTCTCACTGCTTTTCTAGTACCCTTCTACTATTGTAAAACAAAAAGATCTTTGGGAAAAGACTTTTTGGTCAATAAAAGATATATACCAGTAAAATTTCTTTAATTAAGCGTGACTGCTAGAAGATATCATACTAAAACAACATGACTCAGTTTCTACTAGATCACATAAAAATCTGGGGTCCATTATAAATCACCTTTCTATTGCAAATGAATAAAAAATTACTGCTCAAAGAAAATTGGAACCAAGTGTGTCCTAGATGTAAAGACTTTCATTAGGTAATAAGTCTTCTTAGACAGTACACAAAAAGAAAATCAAGATTAAAAATGAATAAATTTCTCAGATAATCAGAAAAAGAAAGAATATCTCAATTGGGTATTTCTTATTGAAAAGAGATTTTGAGAAGCAGGTCTTTGGAGAAAGCTGGAAATATTTTTTTTCAAATTTTTACTTTTTCATTTTCTTGTTATCTATTTAGACATTTTTAGATATTCTCCTTACCTTTTTTTCAATCTATCCTTTTTATAGTTTCCTGTATTCCAGTAGCTTAGTTAGACATACAGCAATAACAACCTGCTGGCAATGATGTAGTGAACTAGGAGGGTCTTTATCCAAAGACACTGCAGAGAGAAATATTGTCCTCAAGATCAAACTTAGAGACTATTATATCAATGACAGGTTAGTTAGATTAGGATTAATAGTTTAACTGTAGTATATATCATACTGTTTGAATAAAAATGTACTTATGTTTTCAATTAATTAATAAACTGACAATCTAGCCTAGCTACGAGTATTCAAAAAAAAAAAAATAATAATAATAATAATCTTTTTTTTAAAAGTTTAAAAATTTTATAAAATATTTTTATACTTTGTTTTTATAAATTATTATAAAAATAAAAATTAATTTTAATTTATTTTTATTTTTTTTAATTTGCAGTTAGGTTAGCATAGTATGTCTTTATTATACTGTATATATATAGAGATATTTACAAGATATTTTGACTTTTATATATTAATTCATTCAGTATTATAAAATTAATTTTAATTTTAATAAATTGTTTATAATAATATTATTTATTCTAGTATTTTTATAATTAAAAACTTTTTTCACTAATCCTTTGATCATATACAAAAAGATGTTTACAAGAAGTTTTCATACTTTTTTATTAATAAAGTCTTATTACTTTTATTAAAAAAACTTGAAGTACGACTTCAAAAGTCATTTTCATATTTTCCTTCTTGTTTACAAATCTCTTTATTCAAAAACTTGACTTCTAGTAATTAAGTTATACCTTTATCTTTAATACTATTAACAAAAAAGTTTTCAAAAAAAAAAAAAATCGATTGTGAAGTACTTGAAGATCTTTTCAATTTTTGAAATAAGAAGTTTATAGAGATTTTCTATAATAAAAATATATATTTTTTCAGTTTTTGACTGTCTTGGTTCTCTTAGAGCTTCACTTTCATGGTTTACTAAAAAATTTTGCCTATCTCAATTTGACTTTGAATTTTGAATAGTACAATTTTTATCAAAGATAATTGGCTAATACAAAGCATATTAGTTTTTGAAATGTAAATAAGTTTCTATTGTTTATACTAATATATTCTGATGATGTCATTAATAATTAAAAAGAAAAGTTGATAAAAAAGTATTTTTTAATTAAGCAAGTCTTCAAAATGATAGTTATAATATCAAAAAACAAGTAAATAATATAAAATATAATATCCCTATCTCTTAATCAAATTTTTCAGATAATAAGAAAACTTTTTTAGAAAAAAAGCTGAAATCTTCAAGCTTTTATTCTAGTTAGATAAAGTTTCTACAAAGGTTTCTTTATTTTAATTAGATTAATTCTACTATAATATGATACTGATACTAATTTTGTGATAGCAAATTCATATATCAGTAGAAGAATAGGATTGATTTCACAAACATTCTTCTTAAAGTCTCAATACTTAGGAATAGTTAAGTTCTTTATATAGTTCAAAATTTAAAAAATATCTTAATTAGGTGGATTTCTTTTAAGAGAAAGTTGTCTACTTGAATAAAAACTTTTTAAAGTACTATAAATTATTTTTTTTTTCTTCCTCAGTTTATAATTTAGCAATTCATTGTTTTTCAGAATAATTTATAGTAACAAACTATAGGTAATAATTCTAATAGATCGAGGTTATAATTAATCTATTAGAAAAGTATAATGTTGTTTTCAAAATCTGACTTAGAGTATCTAGTTTAAACTTTGATTAGTTTAATCTGAACTAGCTTAGTAGATTTCTTATATTTTTTAAATAATATAGTCCTTTAATTTATAATATGCAAAAATAAGTTAATTATTAAGTAAAAATCTATATATATTATAGATATTATTTTTTTTAATATTTCAATAAAAACATCTTGATTATATGATTGCAGATTAAAAAAAAAAATGATTATTTTTATAATTAATTAAATTAATATTTTATTATATAAATATTATATATTACTTAATAAGTTTTTATTCATAATTTTTAAAAATAAAATATATTTTAAAATTAAATAATCATATATTAAAAAAATTATTAAAAATTTATATTAAAGAATTGTTAAAAAAATTATTAAAAATTTAGATTAAAAAATTGTTAAAAAAAATTATTAAAAAATTGTTATTTTTTTAAAACTTTTTGTTAGGCTAAGCATATATGCTTTATTAAATATTTATATACTTTATATTGAAAAATATATCACTAAAATCAAATTTTTATCTAATTTACTTATCAATATTTTAAACTCTAAGTACAACTTTAGAAGCTTCATTAATGGTTTAGATAAAACCTTTTTAATCGCTAACTTCATTGCTTGCAGATTACTATTGTAAAATTATTTAAAAATCGTTTAAAAATTATAAAATTAATATAAAAATATATTTTAAGTTTTTATTTAATTTATTTTTGTATACTTTTAATTTTATATAAATTAATTACTACTTGATTTGAATTTAATTAATATAAAAAATATATAATTTGCTTTGAATTCAACTGATATAAAAAATATAAAATTTGATTTAATCTGAATTCAACTAGTTCAAAATTTGTAAAGTTTGATTTAATTTAATTGATATTTAATTTATAAATCAATAGATTCAAATTATTAATTTAAGATAATAGATTTTTTAAATAATATATAATTCCAATAATCAATAAATAAGTTTTTTCAATTAATTCAAAGTTAAAAATATTTTAATCAAATAGATTCTTTATTTTTTAAAAGGTTCTAAATTATTATTATTATTTTATTTTTTTAATTTATTGATTAAACAATTTATTATTTTTTTAAATAATCTATAGTAACAAATTATTAATGATATTTTGATGAATAGAAGATCTAATACTTATTTATCAAATAAATAATATTATTTTTTAAATTTAATTTAAAATATCTAATTTAAACTTTGTTTTGTTTATTTCAAACTAGTTTAATGAATTTTTTATATCTTTAAAGTAATATAGTTTTCAATTAACAATATATAATAATGAGTTAATTATTATATAAAATTATATGCAATATTTTTTAAAACAAGTCATAATAGTATAATTACTAATTAAAAAAAGTTTTTTTTTATAATTAAATATTTTATTTTTACTTTTAATAAAGTTTAGAACTAACTTGTTTTTAAATACAAAAAAAAATATTTTTTCAAACATTTGAAAACTTTGCTAATAACTTTAATATGTTACTAGTTAAATTGTGCATTTTCGTCATACTCTAATAAAGTTTATAATAATGCACTTTGCGTTTTCGCGTAATTTCATTCGTTCATTGGTCTTCGAGTAATAAGCAGCGTTTATGCACGTGATATTCCATTTGTGGTTAATTAAAGCTCACAGATGGCCTTATAAATATACCTAGTGATTGAGCCTCAGCAAATCAAGAGCAACCGATTGTGAAATAACTTCATTTCATTCCTCGTTTACACTCCACTTCTTATTGGACTAAGAAACCACCAATACCAACACAAGCAGGTAAACTCAAGCAGTCCACTGACTTGACTTGACAAAAAAATTTTTTCCTTGGACTTTTTGAAGCCAATAAAACAATGACTGCTTACTCACACGCTCTCCCAATAAATGTTATTGAACTTTCCCATAATCTTGAACTATGTTATTCGAAATTACAATGCAGTTCTGGTTCATCATCCTGCTTTATAAAACTTTACTTGTTTTGTGCATAGTCATTCTCTAGTGAGGAATTTCGTACAGCATAGGCGATGGATATAAAAGAACAACAAACTAATGACAACAGCAAAGAACAAAGAAGTACTGAACCACAGGCAAATGGTCAATCACAAGAAGCGGAGCAACAGCAGCAAGATCAGCCGGATCAACACCCACAATATGAACTTGCCGCACCATATGCAAATTTGGCACATTCAAATACCCCAGTTGTTGTAGATCCGGTTGGTACTTTTCTCAACATCTTTTTTTTTTTTTTTCAAGTTTTATTAAGATTGCTCATCCTTTGTCGTAGACACTTCAATCTGAACACACGAAATCATCAAGTGCTTTTCAACCGGTTACATATGCTCAACCTTATAGCCTGGTAAGAAGAAAAAAGTAACGCAAATTCAAACCAAACCGATTATACATTAAAGTTGACATTAGTCGTTATTCGACATTTAGATTATGAATCCTCAATTTGCTATTGGTGCTGTCAGTGCTCCCCCTGCAGCATCATCGGGTATAGAAGAGCAGGAAGAACCACTTTACGTGAACGCGAAGCAGGTAGCGTATATGAAAAATATTGGGCTTGAGGCTTTAAAGAGGGTTAACAAGAGGTTTAATTTATGAATAGTATCACAGAATTTTGAAAAGACGAGCGGCCAGAGCAAGATTGGAAGCAGAAAATAAAATACAGAGAGGAAGGAAGGTTCGTGAGTCTATTTATCTTGATATTCATTGATCCAGAGGTTGACATTGACCCTTTACATTTGCGCCCACGTGCAGAAATATCTTCATGAATCCCGTCACAAACATGCAATGCGTCGCCCTCGCGGCCCCGGTGGTCGTTTTCTCACTGCAGCAGAGATTGAACAACAAAAAAAGGACAACGAAAACTCACAATCACAAATTCAGCAACAGAATGGTTCCGGTTCCGATACTCGAAATCTCATGTTATCAGAGAATGGAGTTAAACAAGAAGTTCGTAAATGAGGTCAAACACATGGGGGATTAATATATGATAATTTAGTTTTTGTCATAATCTGTTCACAATCATGCAATTCAAGGCGGTCCAATGCGTTAAAAAAAAAGAAAAAAAAAAAGAAAAAAAAATCATGATACCATATTTCACTTCATCTAATTTAGACGGACCTCTTTACCTCTTTTACCTTTCCATTTCATTTTTTTTTTTTACTATTATTTTTTCCCCGTGGGACTGGGGTGGCGGTGGTGGTGGCGGTTTCAGTTATCTAGTGTCAAACAAAAAAAATCCACATTCGTATAGACAGACTTTTGATCGGTTATCATTTTCATATAAAAGTTGGGTCACATATGTAAGAGTATGCGCGTACCTTGCACTATCGATTTAATCTGAGTATATAATGGGTAAGCCAATAATAGGGGATTTGATGATTGGGTTACACGAAAGTGTATGCATGTTCATAAGCCTTAAATTTTTATTTAGGGAATTGTCCATTCTTTGAAATTTTAATCATTATTATTTGATTTTGTATCAGCATGCAATCAAGTGTGGATTTATAGCTGCACTTTAATTCTCGAGAAGGATGTTTTTTTTTTTTTTTTGAACAAAAAAAAATTTTTTTAAACAAAAAATAAAAATAATTTTCAGTACATCTGTGTAATCTTCAACATACAAAATTATATAATCTTCCCTGTTTGATATGTCATAATGTAGTGTGTTACCACCATGGCCACCAGGGTTGTCATATCAATCTTTTTGAATAAATGAGCCTGCATTGTATTTACAGAAAAAACCTTGAGCATTGATTGCCAGTCCTATATTCTTTCCGCATCAAATGGTTTGACACATTGAATAAGAAATATCTTTTCTTTATTCGGTGGTACCTTCGAAATTTTTTATCCCCCATTTTGTTTTTTTGCACACGAACTCGATGCATCGGTTCCATTGATACCACATCGACCTTAATTAGAGATAATAATATAATAAAATAAATATAAAAATCGTTATTTCGTCTCCTCTTCTTTCCCCAAACCGGGAAAAGTTTTTTTTTTTTTTTTTTGATATT